AGGAGGAGGGGAGGAGGAGGGGGAGGAGGAGGAGGGGAGGGGAAGGAGGAGGAGGGGAGGAGAGGGAGGAGGGGAGGAGGGGGAGGGGGATGAGGGGGAGGAGGAGGAGGGGGAGGAGAGGGAGGGGAAGGAGGAGGAGGGGGCCCTGCAAGGTCAGGGTGAGGGGCCCCCAGGAGGACAGAGCCTTCGTCCTTTGTCTGGAAGCACAGACCCCTCCCCCTCACGACCCTGGCCCCCAGCAGCCGGCCGAGCCCCTCACCCGTCCTTGGAGAGCTGGTATCGGAAGAAGTCATTGGCTGCCAGCTTGATGGCCTTCTCGGGGGTGACGAGGGTCAGGTTCACGGCGGCTCCTGTGTGGTACACGGGGGAGCACAGACAGGTCAGTGGCCTGGGCTGGGGAGGCTCTCCACCAGCACTCGCCTCCCAGTTGACAAAGCCCGCCCCCCGTCACTCCTGGGCTGCGTCCTGCCCTCTCGCTCACATCTGTGCCTGGCAGGGGCGGGACCGGCGGGCCAGGCAGTGCCTTCTCCGGGCTTTCTGCTCAGCCTCCCCCGTAACCCTCCCAGTCCAGTGGGCGGCCTCCCTGAGGGACACCTCCCCTGGGCTACAGACGTGCTCGCGTTGGGGTTCTGGGTAAGGCCACGTCCGGCCTGGCGCGGGTCAGAGCTGGGGAGGCAGTGGCGAGCCCCTCTCAGCGGCGAGGACTCAGGGCTGCACAGCATCTGGGCAAATCCAGGCTTGGAGATTGTCTCCTAAGCTGCTTTGCAGTAACGACCCCATCCCTCCCAATCTCCTGGCACAGACAGGGTCCCACCTGTCCCGGGAGGCAGGGGAGGGGGCTGCGGCCACTGTGGTAGAGACAGTGTCCTGCCATGCTGTGCACTGGTAGTGAGTGGGGGACGGGGCTGAGAACTGCTGTGCCCCAGAGATCCCACCCCCCGTCCTCCCAGCACCCAGGGCCCGGCTGATGACCCCCGGTGCAAGTGCAGCAGCCCCCACGGGACAGGTCCACACTGTCACACCCGGCACAGGTACGCTGCCCTGCCCTGGCTTCCCACCTGCCTCCCCGTCGCTACGGTAGGACCCCTCTGGGGCTGCAGGAGGGTGCTACCCAGGCCTGCCCCGTCCCAGCCTCACCGCGGTACATCCCGAAGTAGCCCTCTGAGCGGATGGTCTTGATGAGGCAGTCAGACCTACAGCCCGGCGGGGGGGGGGGAGTGAGCAGGGGATCAGTCTGGCATCCAGCAACGGCCCCAGCCCTGACCCAGGGAGGCGCTCCCCCAGCCTGCCCCCCTCAGTTTCCCCTTTGGTTTAACGGGATGGGGGGATACAGGCGCCGAGCGCAGAAGTCTGCCCCACACCCATGGCTCCACGCCTGCTACCCGCCCCCCCGCAGGCTCACATGCTGGTGTACAGGCGCTGGCCATTCTGCTGGTTCTGCAGCCTCGTCTTGGCCAGGTCGATGGGGAACACGCAGGTGACCCCGATCAGCCCAGCGATGCCGCCATTGATGAGCTTGGCTGGCAGACTGCGTGGGCGGAGGGAGTGTCAGGACGACCTCCTGGGCCATAGGTCGGCGGGGAGGGGAGGACAGGGGTGGGGTGAGGCTGGGTGGGGTTCTGACCTGATCTGCTTATCGGCCATTTAACTCGGGAGCACTCAGGTAGGAGCCGCAGAGGTGGATGCCAGACAGCGGAGGTGGTGCTGGAGGAGGGGGAGGGGCGGTCCTCTACTTCCAGGGGAGCTTGAAAACCAACACTTCTGTCCTAGAAGAAAGAGGGAACTGGGATCAGCGGGGGTGGGCAGAGCCACGGCTCAGAGGCACCCCAGAGGAGTAAGCCCCCCCAGCCTCCCTCCCAGGTCTCCTGAAGGGGCACCGAGCCCTCCCCCCAGCGCCCCCTCCCAGGCTGGGGCCCTCCGCACGTCCTGGGCGCGCAGTGTGCGGCGACCCGTTGCCCCTTGGCCCCATCCCTGGGCCACCCGGCTTCCCCTCAAGGCGCCCCCACCGGCTGCGTGCTCCCAGCTGGCCTCGCTCGCTCGCTCACGTGCGCGGAGCCCTTTAAAGGGCCAGGCGCCGCTGGGGAGGCAGCAGCAGGGGACGGGGCCAACACGCCGGGCAGGGCGCCCCTAGACTGGGCTGTGACGGCCCCCATCCTTGAGCAGAGGCAGCGGGCACCTGCCCTCTTCAGGAGGGGGGTGAGAGTGCCCCAGGGTCCACTCTAGGGCTCAGCTCACAGCTGCCCGGTAGATGCCCCCACTCCCGTGGCAACTCCACGCTGGACCCCCAGACCATCCGCTCCCCTGGTGACCGGAGAAGCGCCAGCACAGCCACAGCCAGCCCTGTGCCCACCCTCCCAGGAACTTCACCCCCAGACTCACACCCAACACACCCACACACACGGAGGAACCCAGCGACCAGGACCTCTGGGAGGGGGATGGCTGACCTTCCGAGGCTCCCTGGGGCCAGTCCCCCAGCCACTCCAGGGGTGCAGAGATAAGACGCCCCTCTCCCTGGGGGCAGGGTTGGGGAGCCAGAGCCAGCCTCGGGGGCCTCCTATGCAGGGGCACAGCCATAAAAACTGGGCTGTGGGGTCCTCCCCCCCACTGTGGCCCCCTCAGAGGCCAGCTGTCACAGGCTCCCACCCGAAGCGCTGCCACCCAGGGTCACACGGCTGGCTCACACCTGTCGCCCCCCCCGAGAACTGGTGACCTTCACCTCAGCTTTCCTGGGCCGGGATGTCCCCTGCCTCCTCATCAGCCCCTCCGCCCCCCGCCGCGGTCCCGCTCACCCCAAGGTGCACCGGACCGGCTCCTCCTCCGCGACTACAGCCCGCGGGCGGGCGGAGGAGATCCAGTGGCCGAGGGCGGTGCCGGCTGCGGGGATTGGCTGTGGGGCGGGGCGGGGCGGGGCGGGCCTGAGGGGGGTGGTGACTTTCTCTTTCACTTTGGGCGGGATGAGGCTCCCTGCCCCTGTGGGAGAAGGGACCAGAAGGGGGTGTGACAGCTTCTAGGAGGCTGGGACTGGCCTCGAAGCCCCCACCAGCCCGTGGGGCAGTGGGTCAGACTCGGGCTGACCCAGCCAAGCCACGCAACCGGTTCCCAGGGACCCCAGCCCCTGACCACCGTGCCCCCAGCTGCCCCATGGGTTTCAGTCTGCAGCCTGCAGGCTGGATCTGCCTAGGGCCCCGGGACCCCAAGGATAGGGCTCTCTCTGTGCCCAGGCATGGGGGATCTGATGCCATGGGGTGGAGATGGGTCTGTGTCCACTCGTGCCTGTGGGACTTGTGGGTCTTTTTGGGGAAGGTGAACTTCAGGGAAAACTCACGCTGGAGCAGAGAAAGACATGCTTGTCTGCTGGAAAGGCCAGGGAGGGGGTGGCTGGGCCTCAGAGCCTACTGGTTGCCACCCATGGGCCTGTTCACCTGGCAGGTCCAGAGGGCATGGGAACCAGCACTCCCAGAGCCCTCTGCCCAGCCAAGCTGCACCCCCCACCACTCGCCCAGGGCCTCAGTGCCAGGACCTGCTTCTCCGTGCCCCAGCCTGCAGAGAGGAGTCTGACCTCTGCACTTCAACCTGACCCTCTCTTCCCACCCCCACCCTCCCCCACCCTCCAGGTGTAGACTGGCCACAGCCGTCTCTCTCCGCTGTCCCAGACCCTTGGGGGCAAGGTCCACATCCTGCCCTATGGGGACTGAGTGAGCCCTGCCTCCCGTCTGGGGTAAGGGACATCTGGGTGATGGGGGCCCCGGAAGTCAGACAGACTATCCAAGGTGGGGAGGGGAGCAGCTGTCCCAGGAAGACAGGCAGCCCTGGGGTCCCACATCACACTCTGCCGGCTGGAATGGGGAAGACGGTTGCAGAACTGAGAACAGTGGGGGCAGTGGGCTCTGCCGGGAGACGACTGGCAAGGGGTCCTCCGGACCCTGAATGCTCCTTTTTCTGTCCTCACTCAGTGTTCTCACACCCTGCTCATGAGACAGCTTGGAGGGCCCTCCCCTTGCGCCCCCATGTTGCCATAGAAACCTGGCAGCCCCAGCCAGGACTGAGGCCCCAGGGCTGTCAGCCCTCCCTGTACCCCCTCCGGTTCCCCGCAGCCTGGTAAACTGGGATTGCAGGCAAGGCTGTGGACACCGCAGCTCACAGGGACCACCCACAGGACGATGCTGCTGCTTCCAGGCCCTCCAGAGGTAAAATCTCCCACAAATGAAGCCGCTGAGCTCCCCCACCCCCAAAAAAGGCAATGGGGGTGAGGCTCAGAGTCTGCGACTGGCCATTTGCTCCCCATTCAATCTTCCCCAGCGCCTTCCCCCCCGGGGAGGTGCTTTCTGTCCAGCCGTCTGGAGGGGCGCCAAGCCGGTGACAAAGGCGGCGCGGGGTGGGAGTTCAGGGCTCCGCTTGGAGGCTGGCTCAACTCCCCGTCTCGCTGGAGGGGGTCCGGACGGGGCCCGGACCGCCACGCTGTCCCCCTCCAGGCGATGGCGACTCCAGCCAAGCACGTGTCCCCATACGTCCAGCAGGGCCCCACGTGTGTCCCCCCTACGGCCGGGCTTCTGTTCCTTGGCCACCGGCCCCCGTCTCCTACCCCGCGGGGACACGTGTGCGCGGGGAGCGCGCCCGGCACCGCCCGGGGCCGAGCACGGCCTCCCACACTCCAGCGGCAGCGGGTCGCAGCATCCGCCGGCGCGGGCCCCGCAGGAGCCGCCTCGTCCGGGCAGATGTCACCTCCCACAGCCGTCGTGGTGCCCCTCGCCCCCGCAGCCGGGCTACACTCGGGTGGGCGCCGCGGATGGGAGCCGCCCCGCGGGCACTCACCGCGCGCTCTGCCGCCGCCGCCGCCGCTCTCGCCTCCCCGCCGCGCCGCGCGCCCGGCTTCACCTAAGCGCGGGGGCGCGTCCGCTCGGCGCCGCGCGCGCTCCGCCCCCGGTCCTCGGCCCGCTCGCGGCCTCCGGCTCCCTCTCCTGGCCGCCGCGGCCACTGCGCCCGGCGGGCCACAGCCCAGCGCCAAGCCCTCACCCTAGGTCCCCAAGGGTCTTCCCTGCGTGTCCGGCCTCGCGCCCGTGCATGGGCCAGTGACCAGGGACTACTCCCGTCGGACCAGCGGATGGCGAGGTGCGCTGGGACGAGGTGTCCTAGGGGAGGAGCGGTGCTGGGAGGGGACTGAACTGGCCAAGCCCCCGCCCCTCACCGCCACCAAAGGGCAGATGTGCAATCCCGCACAGGGTGACTTTGTATCCATCGGGGCTGCGGCCCTTACTTTGTAGCTGGGGACCCCTGTCTCCCAGAGATCAGGACCAAGAGGAGGCGCTGGGCCGGAGACAGGCAGGAGCGAGGGCTGTGGGGAAGCCTGTGCACAGGCCCCCTCACAGCAGGGGCCAGGCCTCTGATCTGGCCTCCCCGTGCCTTCCACCTGTCTCTCCACCCAGCAAATAAACTGAGCTCTGAGACAGCAGCCAGGATGGTGCACGTTTGTTACACAAGGAGGAGAGGGTCACTGGCCCCATACCCAGGGCAAGTTTGAAAGTGGGAGCATCTAACCATTGGCCAGAGGATGTCAGGGACCAGCCCAAAGTCGGTAGGTTCTAGGTCTGGGCAGGCTCGGGGGATCGTGATGCTGAAGAGCCAGGTGGGCCGAGGTCCCCGGGGGCCAGGCTTGTGCGCTGGATGCCCTCCTGGTACTTGCGGCGGCCAAGCTCCAAGACAGCTCGCACCTCTTCGGCCACGTCCCGCCGGTCACTCTGCTCCAGGGCCTCCACGAGGAGCCCCACAGCCCCTGGCTGCCCGGCCTGGCGCTCAGCCCAGGAGAAGAGCATATGGCGGATCTGCCCATCCAGGTCGTCCCTGGGGGGACAGGGAACGGTGAGGGAGGGGCCCGGCCCAGGACCACCCTCCCAAGATGGGTTCCTTCCTCCCTGGGCCAGGGGCGGCCAGACCCTCCCTTTCCTGACTGTTTGCCCTGCCCCCACCTCCCCTGGACAGAACTTCAGCCAGCCTCCAGTAGGCAGGCCAGCAGCGGGAAGGGAGGCGCAAAAGAACGCACCGGAACTCATGCCGGATGCGCTGCAGCTCACGGTACGGCAAACCCAGGTGCAGGGCCACAGCTGGCCAGTCAGGGCCCAGGCGCCCGGCCACATTTAGCAGGTTGCTCTGTGTCAGGAACCCAGTCTCGGCGTCGCCCAGGTTCAGAGGTGCCAGGGAGAGGCCAGCCCCCTGCCCTGGGCCCTTGGATCCCCGCAGTCTCTGTGGGGAGGACGCAGTGGCAGTGAGCCCCGGCCCCGCCCCTGGCTCCAGCCCATACCCCTGGCCACCCCCTTCCCCCTTCACACACGCTCCCCCCGCCAGGCCGCACCGGCAGCTTGAGGGGCAGAGTGGCCATCCACGGGGCGTCTGCACCCCTCTTCTGCCGAGCAGCCTCCGCCTCCTCAGGTACCTCCTCTGGCACCTCTCCTCGGTAGAAGGACACCTGTGGGTGGGATGAGGTGGGCTTCAGTGCTCTGGCCTCGGCCCAGGCAGCCCGGGGGGCCCTACCCCGTTGGCCCACCTGGCCCCTCACGGCCTGAGCCCGCCGGTCCAGCGTTGTGGTCACGTACACCTCCTTCAGGTTCTTCAGGTGTGAGTAGAAGACGAAGCACACCCTGCCCTCCACACAGTCTGGACGGTCTGGGGGCAGGGGGTGGGCTCAGCAGGGACTGTGGGGGCAGACCCCAGGGTCCCTTCTCTGGGGGCAGGGGGCCTACCGGCATCCACGTTGATGCCCCTCTCGAAGGCAGCGAAGAATTTCTCACCCTCAAACATCTCCACGGTGTCTGAGGGCTCCGGGCCACGGTAGCGCTCCAGCAGCCGCCGCAGGGTGCTGTCCACCTGCAGGGGCGACCCACTGGCTGGGAGCCCAATGCCCTGACCTGGCCCCCTGGCCCCCACCCCGCCCTCCCAGCCCTCTGCCCCCGCCCCCACCTTGTTGCGAGGCAGGCACTGCAGCAGGACCTGCTCGGGGTCCCGGCGCCTCTGCAGCGCGATGAGGCTCACGCGGTGCAGCCGCAGCCGCTCCCAGGCCTTCCGCGCCAGGCCCCCCACGCAGGTCTTGGTGGTGTACCAGAGCCAGTACCTGGGAAGGCTGGGGGTGAGCGGAGTGCACAGGCCGGGGCAGGGGTGGGGGACCAAAGAGGCGGAGGGAGGGGGCACTGACCAGGAGAACTGCGTGACCTGGAAGCGAGCATACAGGTGGGTGAGCTCCAGTGCCACCTGCGCCGTGATGTCGTCCCAGGTGGCCGCGGGAGGGGCCCGGTACAGCAGGTGCAGGTGCGAGCGGTCCAGACTCAGGCCTGTGGGTGGCAGGGGGCCACAGGCTGAGGCCTCCCTGCCCGGGGCCCCCCTTCTGAGCACTGTTCCCCCCACCCCATGGCTACAAGTCCAGGAGGCCACACAGCCGCCTCTCACCTGTGACGCCGGGGGGCAGAGGCAGTTGCACGGTGACTGGCCGAAGGAAGCTTGGGGGGCCGCTCTGGGAGAGGTAGAGCAGGGGGCTGGCGGCCGCCTCAGGCTCTCCCAGCAGGGCCGGCAGTTCTCTGCTGCCCACGCGCACCACCTGGAGCAGAGGGCACCCGAGCGATCACCTCTGTGCCCAGGCACCACCCGCCACCCGTGGCAGCTGCCCTGCCCGTACCTGCATGCGGGCATGACGGGGCTCCTCAGTGGCCCCAGGGGGGAATGTGACTTTGACCCCAGGATGTCCTGAGGAGCACAGCAATGTCCCCTCTGGTGGCACCAGGCAGGCGTCAGACACAGGGCGTGAAACCACGAGGAACCAGGAGAAGTGAGGCACCTGGCAGCGAGCCCAGAGCCGCTGGGCGTGTGGGGGGCAGAGGGACAGGGTCAGGGGCCTCGCCGGACATGGGGGGGGCAGAGGGACAGGGTCAGGGGCCTCGCCGGGCATGGGCGGGGCAGAGGGACAGGGTCAGGGGCCTCGCCGGGCATGGGGGGGCAGAGGGACAGGGTCGGGGCTTTGCCGGGCATGGGGGGGACAGTTAGGCAAGGGCAGAGATGCTCCCTTCCCGGATGGGCCTGGACAGCCCTCACCTTGGGCGCCTCTTCCTCCAGGTGGGTCTCCAGGTCACTCCAGCTATTGTCACTCAGGGTCCTGACCACCACCTCACGGCAACGCCGGGCCCGGGGGGGCACAAAGAGCAGCCACAGGCCCACGTCCTGCCAGGCAAGGGTGCTGTGAGTGCCAGGGCCACGGCGGGGCCCTCCTCACCTGCCCCGACCCGCCCCGGCCGCACCTTCTGGAAGGCCACCCCGTGGGGCTGCAGCTCCAGGACACCACTGAGCAGAGAGTCGTGGGGACCCAGAGGGACGAGGCGGGGCTCTGGCAGCCACAGTCGATAGCGGATGGTAACAGGGGTAGCAGTGGCTCCCACAGGGAACTGCAGGCGGACACCACAGGCCAGGGTCACAGAGCAGCCTAGGGGGGTCACGGCGAAGCTGAGGGAGACAGGGTGGACATCGGGTCAGACGTAGCAGGGTCCCACATGTCTGAGTCTGGCGCCCTGGGCAACTCTAGGAGACCCCCACGGCACGGGCAGGTGGACAGGGTGACAGGGTGGACAGACGCTTTTGCAGCCCGGCCCCTCCTCCACACCGTACCTGTCCAGATCTGAAGTCAGCAACAGTCTGGGCATTTCTGGAACCACGGGTGTCCCTGTGGAAGGACAGATGGGCTGTTAGGATGGTGATGACACCTGCGTCCTGTCTGTGGTCTGCCCCGTCCCCACCAGTGAGCCTACCTGGAGGACTGTGGGGGCCGGGGCTAGGCCCACCCAGGGGGTTTCCTTGCAGGCGCACGAAGGGGGCATTCAGTAGCTCGGGGGGCACGTCCCGGAGCTGGTTGTCCCTCAGGTCGAGCCGGGTGAGCAGCGGGAGACGGGCCAGGCCGGCAGGTACCGAAGCCAGAAGATTGCTGTGCAGAACGAGGAGCCGTAGGGACCGCAGGCCCGCTGCAGGGGCGCCAGCTTAGGGCCCGCGGAGGCCGCACAGGGCCACCCCAGCCCTGCAGCGCCAGGCCGGGCCGCCCGCGCTTTCAGTCTCCGCCCTTTGGCTGGACAAGAGAGCTCGGGCCGGCCTGCACAGGGAGCCTCAGCAGCCAGGGAAGTGGGGGGCAAGCAAGGGCCGCGAGGGGGGCGAAGGCTCGAGGTGGCAGCCTGTGCGCGCGAGGCCCTGCGCAGGAGAGAGCGCTGTGGGACAGGGCAGGCTGGGCAGTGGCCGACGGGCCATCAGGCCCATCAGGCCCAGGGAGCCAAGGCTGCGACTCACCAAGGGAGGCAGGGAGGCCCTGCAGCCGGTTGGAGGCGAGGTTGAGCTCGGCCAGGCTGCTCAGGCCTCCGATCTCAGGGGGCAGAGCATCCAGAAGATTCTCGGAGAGATCGAGGCGCTGCAGGCTGGACAAGGACCCCAGTGCTGCGGGCAGCGTTTGCAGGCGGTTGTGGGTGGCAGCGAGGAAGGTGAGGGCGGCGAGGGCCCCCAGGGCCTCAGGCAGCTCTGAGAGGCAGTTATGAGACAGCAGGAGGGCATCCAGGCCACACAACTGCGGGACACAGGCTGGCAATGTCTCCAGGCTGTTGAAGCTCAGGTCCAGGTGGGCCAAGTGGGCTAGGCCACTCAGGCTGGCGGGCAGCGTGGCGAGGGAGCCCCGGAGGCAGGCACCCAGAGCGTCCCGATGTTGCCCACCTGGGTGGGGGAAAGGCAGACATGGCTCTCAGAGCCAGAGTCCCAGGTCCCAGCTCAGCCCTGCCAGCCAGGGAAATAGGTGCATGGAAACACAGACCTCCACCCCAACCCCGCTTAGACAGCGAGAGATGGACACAGATACTGGAGAGTCACCAGCAAATGAAGGGAGCAGCGACAGACAACGCAGGCTCGTCTCGGCTGACAGTCTCCACCCGTGACCCACCCCAGGAGAAATACCCACACTGGGGTCTGCTGGAGACCCCACTGGCAGCTGCCAGGTCCAGGAGCCCAGGCTCAGCCAGCTTCCTCTCGGGGTAAAAGGGGTCGGGTAGCGCTGTGCAGAGAACAGCGATGAGGCTGGGACCGGGGTTTGCCTTTCAGGACCAAGAAGCAGAGGCAGGAGCCAGCGATGAGGCTGGGACCAGGTGGTGCTCACCTTTGAGGACCAGGGAGCGGAGGCGTGGCAGGCTCCAGGGCAGACGGGCCAGGGTGGCCTGCAGCAGCTGAGGGTCCTCGTGGCCACTCAGCTGCAGGAACTCCACCTCCAGCAACTGACGGACCTGCTGGGCACACAGGTGCAGCAGCCGGTGGCAGCCCCTGGGGTACAGGTCCAGGCTCAGCCGGTTCCCAACCAGGAGAGGGGGTGCCCCCAGCCTTGCATCCACAGCATCTGTAGCATCTCCTGCAGCATCTTCTACAGCCGCTGTCTCGGGCTCCAGCCCCTCCGCCTCTGCAGCCATCGCCCACCGGCTGTCCTCGGGAGCCAGACATGTCCCAGCTCGCCAGGCAGGCCTGCTCAGGCAGGGCCCAGGGAGGCTGCAGAGTCAGGGGGAGGAGCGGGTAGGAGGGGGCTGGGCGTCCTCTAGCCAGAGGAAGGGGGACTCTGGCTGGGGAGAGCTCTTGAGCCAGGCCAGCTGGTCCAGAGCCCAAAGCCTAGGCTGCTGGACAGATAATCGCTGCAATGGGGCCGGGGAATAGGACTCCCCAAGGCTGGGAAGGCAGCAGGCAGGGAGACCTCTGTGTGCAGAGGGGCCTGGGGACATGCTTGAGGGAGAGGGGAAAAGTGAGGCTTCACGTCCCAAATCTGGAAACTTAACAAGGGACTCCTAGAGGTGTCAGGTCCTATTCCACCCCCCACCCCCTCTGGGTCCAGCCCCACCTCCAACCTTCACATTCCTCGGCTTTGACCAGAGGTCCCGGCTCTCATCTACCATGTGGGGCCAGTGTTCCAGGCAAGGGCCGGGTGATCGTGCCCGCGTATGTCAGAGCAGTGAGTGTGAGGGGGTTCCTAAGGACCGGACCCCACTTCCTGGCGCCTGGAGGTGGGCTCCCCGCCACTTCCAGCTCGCACCTCGGTCCGCGGAGGAGGTCGGTGCACCGCGCAGCCGCGGCCCCCACCGCTCGGGTAGGGTCCCGGGCGGGAGAGCGCGCCCTCTCCGAGCCGCCCTCCCCACGGCGCGCCCGCGGCCCGCGCGTCACCTGCTCCCGGCGGCGCGTTTCCGGGTCCCGCCGCATCGGAAGCTCGCCTCATGTCCGGCGAGGGTCCGCAGGCCGGGATCTCAGTGTCCCTCCCGCCCCGCCCGCCCGCCCTCCGCCGGTCGCCGCCCTGCTGCACTCAGCTTCCTGTAGGCCTGCGTGCCTCTGCCGTCCAGCCTTCCGTGGGAGGGCCCGCGTTGCGCGCCACCAAACCCAACCTTTGAGGTTCTCTCGGGCCCTGGGCCCGCTCAGCTCTAGGGCTGTGCATTCCCGGCCCCATGCTGAAATGAGCTAGTGCGATCTCTGGCTGCAGGGGGTATCGGGTGCTGATCGAAGCTGCTGCCCCACCCACCTCCTGCCAGAGGACAGCTCTGAGAATGGCCCCAGCCAGCCCCAAAGGCCTCCTCTCAAGCCCTGCAGAGCCTGGGCCCCAGCTGCAAAGGCCCTCCTTTTAGGGTGATCACTGTGGGGCACATGCCCCCAGCAGTGGACTTCCTCACATGCTGCCTCCCATCTTTCCGCATCTCACAAGGAAGGAAGAGGCAGCTCCGAGAGATCAGATGTTGCCCAAGGCCACTAGCTGGTGAGCGCCAAAGCCAAGGCCCTCAAACCAGGTCTGACTCTCACGAGAACCTTCCCCACTCCCGCTTCCTCCCCCCGCACAGTCGATGCCTATAAACGGACACATGAACACATCTGCTTCTGCCTGTTCTGCCCCAAATGATACCGTGTGCACCCTCTCTCCTCCACCCTCGCCAGCTACCGCCATCCCTCCTACCGGGATGGGCAGTTCCCACCAGGCCTCCATTCTCCCCCCTTCAGTTTCCACATAGCTGCCAGAAGAATTTAAAACAAACAAACAAAAAACCAATCACAGGAACATTATTCAGTCTTAAAAAGAAATGAAATCCTGACACATGCTATAATGTAGATGAACCTTGAGAGCATTACTCTAAAGAAACAAGCCAGACACAAAAGGACAAATGCTGTATGACTCCACTTCTGTAAAACCTCTAGAGCAGTCAAATACATAGAAACGGAATGTAAAATGGTGGGGGCCAGGGGCTGGGGGAGGGGAATGGGGAGCTATTGTTTAATGTGTATGGAGTTCAGTTTGAGAAGTTCTGGAGCTAAATGGGGGTGATGATTGCACAACAATGTCAATGCACCTAGTGTCCCTAAATTGCATGGTTAAAATGGTAAGTTTTACGTTATGTATTATTTTACCATTTAAAAATTTAAATAAAAACAATCACAACACTTTCTTGTGTGATTGCAGTAAAGTCCCATCCTTCCCAAACGGTTTCCCCACTTTACCGCAGCTGTGTGACCCCGAGCAAGAAAACCTTTCTATGTCTGACTTCATCTATACGATAAGGGTACCGTGTGGCTTGCGTTAACAAACCAGTGCTTGGCGCTAACACGCGGGTTCACCTGCTGTCAGAGCCCGCATGGGCTGGCTGCTGCCTCTGAACCCATCTCCGGCCACCTTAGTTGGGCCTTTGCATCTGACCCCTGGGGGCTAATGCTCGCCCCACATCTTCGCAGGGCCGGCTCCTTCTCATCCTTCAGCCCCGTGACAGTGTCAGCCTGGGACTGCCTCGTTTATTTACTTTGCGTGTCCGCGCACTAGAACCTGAGTTCTGCGGAGGCAGAACCGGGCCTGTTCCCTCTCAGGACTGACGCCAGCCTGCAGCAGGGTTCCTGACACGGAGAGTGAATGAGTGACGTGTGCTACGTGTGCTACGTCCGTGTGGACCCTGAGATCTGTCCCGAGCCGACAAGGCCAGGGCAGGGGGTGTGGGGGGAGTCACGCGGGCTTCGGCACTCCTGGCTCCGCTCCTCGGGGCGGCGGTGACAGGGCCTCCCAGCTTCGGCCGGAGCTCCCACCAAGGCGCTGGGGAGAAGCAGCGGCTCGGTTCGGCGGTGTGAGCGCGCGGAGCAGCTCGCCCACCCCACTGGGCGGGCCGGACAGCGAACTCCTGTTCCCGCGTCTGGGAACCACCTGAGACCCGGAAGGGCAGCGGGCTGGACCAGTGCAATAGCGCCCGGGCCACGTGTGGCCCGCGCAGGCAGCAGCGAAACCGCGCTTCCGGTAGCCATGCACCATGGGACTCGTAGTTTGCCGGCCGCGTCAGCGTCTCCCGCAGAGATGCGTCCTGGGCGTGAAGGCTGCGCTGCATGGTGGGAGCTGTAGGCGCCGCGTGGCATCCTGGGAGCCCTAAAGGGAAAAAAGCTGCACTTCGGACTCGCGTCTTGCTCTGCCCCGCTTCCCCCAGGGATCTCGAGGGGCACTCACCCCACTGTATACAAGAAGGCGGCCCGGAACTGCCTTTCGCCTTTGCGGTGGTGGCTGCGGGACAAGACGGGATAATGGCGTCACCTGCGTCCTCCTGGGCTACGCACCGTCTGACATCACTAGGAGGCGCTCTCAAGGGGCGCTGCGCGCAGGTTCCGGAGGCTTCTGGGTAGCGAATTATCCCCGCCCCCCGCACCGGCGCCTTCCTTTCCGTGCCTAACGCCGCCGAAGTCGCACGCGCGAGGCTTCTCCGCCGCCGCCAAGTTAGTGGGGCGGGCAGGCCGGGGCGCGGGCCGGGCCGGGCGTGCCGCGGAGGGAGGGCGGGCGGGGCAGGGCGCGAGCTGAGCCTCTGCGGGGTCCCCGGACCGAGCCACGCGCGGCCGCGCACGGGCCGGGGTGGGGGCGGGAGGCCTCCCCGTAACGCCGCCGCCCTCTCCTCGCGCCGCAGGATGCGCTACGTTGCCTCCTACCTGCTGGCCGCTCTCGGGGGCAATTCCTCCCCCAACGCCAAGGACATCAAGAAGATCCTGGACAGCGTGGGCATCGAGGCAGACGACGACCGGCTCAACAAGGTAGCCGCCTCGCTGGGGCCCGAAGCCCCCGGTCTGCTCTGTACTCCGCACAGGGGGACCCCTCCCTTACCCGACCCGGCGTTTCCCTTTGGGAAAGTGTAGGTTCCTGCTGATTTCTGCCAGCCCATATGGTTTTGGGGTTGCCTTGATGTACTGGTACAGCCCCAAAGAAGAAAAAGTGGGGGTGAAGCCAAACCTCAGCGTGGCTCAGTAGAAACACAAGTCACGTGTAATTGAAGGTTTCTTAGTAATTTTTTTTTTTTAATGAAAGCGGTGACGTTTATCTTGATCTTGTTTTTTTTACCCAACTTGGTGAAAGTTACTTTGACACGTGTTGAGTGTAAAGTGAGATATTTTGCATCCTTTCTCAGCAGTAAGTTTTGGTGTTACTTTTTACATGAAGGGCGTCTCAGTTCACCTGTCCTGCGTCGGTCGTGACGGCTGTGCTGGGTCCAGGGGTGTGATGGTAGGCCTCTCGTAAACTAGGCCACTCCTGTCTTTTAGGTCATCAGTGAGCTGAACGGAAAGAACATCGAGGACGTCATTGCCCAGGGTGAGGTTCTGTCCTGGACTTTCGTTTTCACGGTCCATTCTAATTCCTGCCGGTCAGCCTGTGACCTGCCAGGTTTCGCTTGTGGACCAGAGCACCCTAGAAGCCTTACCCAGAGGAGTGAGCGGGGTTTCAGTGGGCTCAAGCCGTGGGCGCTTCTAGACAGCTCCGGGACAGGGCGCCCGTGCTCTCACTGGGCTTTTGTAAACAAGTCTCTCCACCCCTTCTTGGGGTGCTAGGGCTGATCGCAGGCCCCTGCCCTGTGGTATCAGACTGGAGTATGTGGGATTTGTCTGGAAGTTGAGCTCTTGGGGAGCTGTTTCTGTCCTTGGGTCCGTGACGGGGCAAAGCCAGTTCAGCAGACAGTCTGGGCTGTGAGCTCGCTGCTGGACGCTGGGACAGCGGACTGTACCTGCTTGATTGGAAACATGTTTGTCTAGCTTACCTCCAGGGTAGGGCGCTGTGGTCTTGTAGCCCTGCTGGAGGGACTCCTAGAAGCCAATTTCTGGCAGTGGCAACAGACTCCTGTGTCGGAGAACAGGAACCTATGACGTGGATCCTAATACATTGGGCTAAGTGTCTGGTTACTTTTTTTTTTTTTTTTTTTTTTTTGCGGTACGCGGGCCTCTCACTGTTGTGGCCTCTCCCGTTGCGGAGCACAGGCTCCGGACGCGCAGGCTCAGCGGCCATGGCTCACGGGCCCAGCCGCTCCGGGGCATGTGGGATCTTCCCGGACCGGGGCACGAACCCGCGTCCCCTGCATTGGCAGGCGGACTCTCAGCCACTGCGCCACCAGGGAAGCCCTCGTTACTCTTGAGTAACGTTGAGGCCGGGCTCCTGCTGTGGTCTCACCTCTCCCTTCTGATTGCTGTAGGTATTGGCAAGCTGGCCAGCGTGCCAGCTGGCGGGGCTGTGGCCGTCTCTGCTGCCCCAGGAGCTGCAGCTCCTGCTGTGGGTTCTGCCCCAGCCGCAGGTAAGTGGAGGCTCAGGCAGCTGTCTCTGCAGACACACTGGGGTCTTTGCTGGGAGTGTGGCCTGCACCGTGGGCATTTCTCACCACGCTCTTTCTCCCCGCAGCAGAGGAGAAGAAGGAGGAGAAAAAGGAGGAGTCAGAAGAGTCAGATGACGACATGGGGTTCGGCTTGTTTGACTAGAGCCCACACCCGTGCAAATAAAAACCTGTTGACGTATTTCTTGAGTTGCCTGTGAGCCCTTCATCAGAGTGTGGTGTCCGCATCCTAGTCTCATCCCGGGACGAACCAGAGCCCTTGCGCGATGAGGCAGAGCCGGTTGCCTGAAGAGCCAGGAGCGGAGTGCCTGGACGGGGGCTACTTTCTATTGGTCTTGAGTGTGGCCAAGCCTTGAGTCCCCTTCTTGGGCATGGTCCTGGCTCCTGTGGACTGGCAGGGCCTTCCTAGGAAATGAGGCCTTCAGGGGGACACCCACGAACACTTGAAAAGCAGAGGTGGGTGGTCTCTGCGAAGTGGGTCAGGCCAGTTGAGGTCAGCAGCTCCCGCAAGGCTGGGAGAGCCTCAGTTACACACAGGAGATGTGCAGGTGGGTGTGTGGTCCCCAGATGGCAGTGTGGAGGTCAGTGCCCCGGCTCCACCTCTCCCCTGAGCAGCTTGGACTTACCTCCTCTGAGCCTGTGTCCCCAGCTGTCTGGTGGGCCAGTACCTTGGCTGGGTAGATTCAGAAGTGGTGTGGGCAGCAGTGTTGGGCTGCGTGCTTGCTTGAAGGGCCTGCCCGTGCTCTTTCTGCCAGGCTCTGGCCTAGAATGTGGGGCATAGAGGAGAGGCCCTCCCACTGCCCACCCAAGCACCATCCTGGCCCTGCAGTGCAGCTATTGGCAGCCGCCCACCAGTGCCAGGCCACCCAGTAGATTCTCAGCTTTGCTTTCTGAAGGCTGTGGTGTGGTGGGCACCTGCCATGTGCCCACCACATGGTAGGCCGGTGTGAAGGACTTGCTTCTATGGGCTTGTAGTTCTGGAGGAGAGTAATGAGTGTGGCACGAGACAGCAGGGCTGGGTGCGTGGGGGGCCCTCCCTCAGGAAGAGGCCCCAGGGCAGGGGTGTTCATGGGTGGAGGGAGAGGGCTGAGGGCCTTTTTGCTACCCAGAGGAGTGGGGATTAGAAGAGGGCCTCGGGGGAGGGGGTGTGGGACATGGGGCTAAGGGGGAATGAGGAGTCCTAGCAGTGTGGGCTGCAAGGGGAAAGTATGAGTGGGATGAGAGGTGGGGCTGTGGATACCCAGAGACACAGGTGGCAAGGGGCCGTGGTCCAAGGTTAGGGTAGAGACGGCCCACCAGAGGAGTGACGCAGGGTCCAGGGGCAGAGCTCGCAATCCCAGCCTTGGAGGCTGAGGAGAAGGGCCCTCCCTATGTGGGTCAGAGGACACTGTGGGAGTGGGGGCATGACACCTCCCTGGCAGTCAGCAGATACCAGGGCTTCTCCTCTGTGCAGACGGGGAGGGGGGCAGGTCCACTCCCACCCCCAGCCAGGATTCTAGGAAGAGCCACCCAGTTCCTGGCTGCAGAGCTCCTGGGGCCTGGTGGGAGGGAGGGATATGTACCCAAAACAAGTCAGCTAGGGTGTGGAAATGGGAGCAGAGGTCTCCCGGCATGGGGGTAGTGCCACCCTCCAAGCCCCACAGCCCCTTGGAAACGGGGAGGGCACGGGCTCTGCCCTTCCCTCGGAGCAGGTTGCAGGGATGGCCTGCTTAGGTTCCTGGCTCAGCACCGTCCTGGTCCTCCTTGGCACCCTGGTGAACCCCTGAACTTCGCAGGCTGGCCCTGGGGGTCTGTTCCATCCCCACTGTGTCACACCCCTTGTCCCCTGCTGCATCCAGCAGCATCCCCAAGGGCTCAGTCACCCTCATGGGGCCACATCCTCTGCCCTGCGCCTCCATCCCACCCAAGCATTTGGGGTTCTAAGTCAAATTCCCTCATCCCCCTGCCTTCCCCATTCCCAGCACCCACAGCACCCAGACCTGGGCTCCCCTCTCCTAATTCCCCCACCCAGGGCCTTTGAACGTCCTGTAGGTGGGTGGCCCTTTGCTTTCCCATGTTAATAGTGTCCACATGCCTCTTCGCCCTTCTCAGTCCTTATCTGAACTTAATAGAAACTATCGCTCCCACTCCCTCCCCCAAGTGGGGCAGGGTCTGTGTTGACTTTGCTCACTGCTCATGGGCACCCGTGCTGGCCCCCATGCCAGGCGCACATGGTGCTAAGCATGGGTGGCTTGGAGCACAGAGGCTGAGGACTGGGGGGCATGACGCCAGAAGGCCCTGTGCTGGGGAGGCCCTGCTCTGGCTTCACCTGGGCCTCGGGGCTGGGGGTCGTGCAGCCCCAAGCTGGGTCCTGAGCCAAGCTCCAGCCAGAGGAGCTAGTGTTCCTGGGGAGACAGATGCACACTGGCTGCCCACTGCCCAGCACAGACAAGCCCCTCGTTTGGGAGGTGGGGTGAGGTGCAGGGCTGGCCCCTGGATCCAAGCCAGTTTAGGCCTGCCCTACAGTCCAGGAGAAAAATGCGGAAGCGGGCAGGAGGTGACATCACCAGGAATGTTCCACCTGTTGGGGCAATTAGGCGGGACAGGGCTTGAGTCATACCCACGTAGACCCCACAGCCTGAGGAGCTGGGGCAGGACGCAGGTCGAACCCAGGTTAGTGCCAAGGTGGAGCTGGGCGCGTGGCGGGCAGGGCTGGGTCGGGATGTCCGGTGTGGTCTACCACGCCGGTGTTATCTCTAGAGGTCTGTGTGTGATTCGCGTGCGCCCTGTATGTTCATGGGTAAGTAAGTCTGTGGATGAGTCGGTGGGTCCTTCAGGTCCCTGACCCTCGGCGAGCTCCGCAGTGTCCCGGGTTGGTGCTGTAGGCCGACCCTCGAGGGAGGGGGCGGATGCTGCCCAGACAGCAGGGCCCTCCCCTCGTGGGTATCCAGCTCAGACTGCGGTCGTCCTGGACCTGAGCTCGACCATCCCCACACCTCTGGGCCACTTGGTGTCCCCTCCCGCCGTCGACGATGGCGGGGTGGGGAGGTGGGGAGGCAGCGGGAGGTCAAGGTTTTGGACTCTCGTCCGGGCCTGGCCAGTGTCTTTGGCGGGGCCGCAGGTGTCGCGTCTCAGGGCCCAGTGGCCTGGACAGCGGGCGGCGAGGTGGTGGTGGTGGGGGGCGGGGAGGGGGTCTCAGAGCCTGGGCCGGGGCTCCGGGCGGGGTCTCTGGGTCGAGACGGGCTTCCGGAGAGGGGCGTGGCCTCGGGGCCGGGCTTCGACCTGGGTGGGCCCTCGGGGCCAGGGACGGGGCTCCAGGGCCCGCCCCGAGGGCACGGCCGTTCCCCGCGCGCCCCAATTGGGCCGCGCGTGCCGGCTCCGCCCCGCCCCCCGCTAAAATCACCGCCTCCGCCTCCTCCCCCGGCAGCTTCTCCAACTCCGCCGGCTGAGACCGCGAGCCACAGCGACTGCGGGGCCGGCCTGCCGGCTCTGGCCCCGGCTCCAGAGCGAGCGGCGAGCGCGCGGCGCACAGCGAGGCCGGCCGCCCGCGGAGCCCGGAAGCCCGGCGGGCCGCCGCGATGTTCCCCAGGGAGACGACGTGGAACATCTCGTTCGCAGGCTGCGGCTTCCTCGGTGTCTACCACATCGGCGTGGCCTCCTGCCTCCGCGAGCACGCGTCCTTCCTGGTGGCCAACGCCACGCACATCTACGGCGCCTCGGCCGGGGCGCTCACGGCCACGGCGCTGGTCACCGGGGCCTGCCTGGGTGAGCGGGGCCGGCGGGGGCTGGCGTGTGGTCTTCGTGAGCGCGGAGCGCCCCGCTCCGTCCGCACAGAGCAGCGGGCCGGGCCGCGGGGACCGTGGGGGCCTTGGGGTCTCTGCCCGGGACCCCGACCGAGGCTCCAATGCCGGACGCCGACGAGGGGCGGGGCCTGCCTTGTTTTCCTCCGAGGGTGCCCGGGGATTGGGGTAGGGCCCTGTGCGCCTCTGAGCGGAGGCTGCCGCCTAGGGCCCGCCCCTCGGGCTCAAAGGTTGGGGGGCGGGCAGGTGCAGCACGAGCTCTTTCGTTGGAAAGAGAAAGTAGTTCGTGGGCGGGACCGCGAGAGTCGGGGGAGAGGCCTAGGCCGTCCTCCTGCCCCGGGCATCCGGCCGGGTGGCAGCGGTCGGGTGGCAGCGGGTGGCAGCGGTCACTGTCTCCTGGGGCTACGGCATTCCGGACTGCCATGGCCCCGGGGCTGGGAAAGGGTTGGCCTCTGAGGAGCGCGTCCGGGCACTGTGGCCTGGTGCCTCCCGAGGGCGCCTAGAGGAGGAGCCGGCAGGTCAGGCGTGGGCCCGTCCAGCGCAAGCTCTCTGCCGCCCTCGCCTTCCTGGCGCACGGCCCACTGTGGGCCTCGGGCCCTCTGTGGACTGCGGCCAGACGTTTTTGCCCACCCCGTGGGGTGAGAGGTGCTTTAGGACTCTGCAGCCCCGGAGTCGGCTTCCTCCACCCACACGCTTCCGGCGGCCAGCGCGAGTGATGTTTACAGCACACGGAGTCCTCCAGGAGTCCTGGGAGTGCTGCCCGGCCCCCAGCCGACTAGGGCAGCCAAAGTAACAGAGGGGTCATGAGCTTCTGGAATGCCCTGCCCATCAGGAGCCTGTCCAGTGTTCTCCTCTGCACCCTGCCGGTGGCCTTTCCCCTGAGGAGGGTGGGGTGGAGGGAGCACAGCTCTGCATTCTTGGGACCTGGGAATTCACCACTGTGGCCCTGCCCCTCCTCCTCACGGAGGCTTTCAGGCCAGTGCTTCCCAGACCGCCGTGCTGGTCTCAGGTCCGTGGTACCTCGTTGAGGACATGGTCCCATGGCGCCTCCCCCTCCCCACTCCCAAGAATCCTCTTTCTCACGGGTGGGAGTGGTCTTGGGCAGCTGGAGTCCCCACAACTTGGCGGGTGTTGGCTCCACGCTGCCCCCCTCCTGACCTGGGGGATGGTCCTCAGCTCCTCCCCAAGGCCTTGCTGCTCCCTGACTAGCCCTGGGCCTGCTCCCACCCTGGCTTTGTCCCAGGCCAGTGCCCATGGGCCCCCAGGAGGAGTGTCGGGGGGTTGCTTGCTCTTGGCTGCAGTGGGATGCGAGTGTGCTTCCCCAGGAGTGATGCGGCCCCGCTACGTCCAACCTCAGGCCCCTGGGCCTGTGGGGCCCCTGGGCTGCGCTGGGGTCGGTGCATCTGGATCCGGCCAAGCGGTGAAGGCTGAGCCTGGTCAGAGCTGAGCCTCTGCCTTCTACCCTTCCCCGGGGTGGGGGCTGGGCGCCATGTCATGCCAGGCCCAGTGACTCACAGATCAGGGCGGGCAGTTGGGAAATACGGGCAGAGGGTAAGTCGTGGCCCCAGCTGTCTGCCCTCCCAGCAGCCCCTCTCTCCCCAGGAGCAGGTGGCAGAAGCCCCAGCTGTGGGCCAGGCTCCACGGTGGACGCTGAGACTCCTCTAGGGTAGAAAGGGGTGCCGAGAGTCTGTGCCGTGGACCCTGGGTCTGGAGCCCTGGGGAGTGTGCGAAGCCCAGGAGTGCTGGCCCCTGACCCTTGCCCCTACTGCTCCAGGGGAGGCTGGCGCCAACATCATTGAGGTGTCGAAGGAGGCCCGGAAGCGCTTCTTGGGCCCACTGCACCCTTCCTTCAACCTGGTGAAGATCATTCGGGGCTGCCTGCTAAAGACCCTGCCTGCTGACGGCCACGAGCGCGCCAGCGGCCGCCTGGGCATCTCCCTGACCCGCGTCTCCGATGGCGAGAACGTCATTATAACCCAGTTCAACTCCAAGGAGGAGCTCATCCAGGTGGGCCCTGGGGGCCACACTGGGGGTTCAGTAGGGACCCCAAGGCCCCTGCTCACTGTCTCCCTCTGTCCCTGCCCCACAGGCCAACGTCTGCAGCACTTTCATCCCTGTGTACTGTGGCCTCATTCCTCCTTCCCTCCAGGGGGTAGTGAGTATCTCCTGGGCACCTTCTCTGGGTGACAAGAGTCTGCTCCTCTGCGGGCTGTGGGACAGGGAGGCGGGGAGGAAGCCATCTGTGCCTCCCCACGCCGGCCCCTCACTCCTGCCTCTGCCCGTTGCCTCACTTCCCCCAGAGTTACTCAAGAGCCAGGCCAGCCCTGCGCAGATGCACCTTTCCTGTGGCTGTTCCCCACCCCCCACTGTCTGGCCATCTGCTCAGTGGCCAGTGCCCAGTGGGTGAAACGCCCAAATGAAACAGCCACTGGGGGGGCCTGAGGAGGCTGGGGGGCAGCCCAGCTCACCCTGCAGGCCTGTCCCCGTGTGACCCCGTGTCCCTGCCACAGCGCTACGTGGATGGCGGCATCTCCGACAACCTGCCGCTCTACGAGCTCAAGAACACCATCACAGTGTCCCCGTTCTCGGGCGAGAGTGACATCTGCCCACAGGACAGCTCCACCAACATCCACGAGCTGCGCGTCACCAACACCAGCATCCAGTTCAACCTGCGCAACCTCTACCGTCTCTCCAAGGCCCTGTTCCCGCCCGAGCCCCTGGTGAGGCCAGACCTCCCCGCCGGGCACCGGGGGCGCCGGGGGCGGCTCCCCGGGGGCCTCTCCCGGCTACAGCCCGCACAGCCTCTCCACTGGGGCAACCCGTCCAGCCTCTGTCCACCCTGGACCTGGTCCTGAATCCAAGTTAGCTTGCAGTGGGGCAGGGTGGGGTGGTGGTTCAGGGACACTGGGGACTCTGTCAGGCGCGTCCGGCTCCCCCGCCCCAGTTTATGCATCCCCGCCTCAGGTGCTTCGAGAGATGTGCAAGCAGGGCTACAGGGACGGCCTGCGCTTCCTGCGGCGGAACGGTGCGCGGGGGCTGCCTGGGCAGCCGGGTGGGCTCTGCGTGGCCGTCCTCTGTGGGCCAGCCAGCCTCAGCCGTGCTGATCGCCTATCGGGTCCCCCCCCCCGCCCCACCCCAGGCCTCCTGAACCGGCCCGACCCCTTGCTGGCGCTGCCTTCCGCCCGCCCTCCTGCCCCCGAGGATGAGGACGCACAGGAGGCCGAGGTGGCCACGGAGAGGACCGGAGTGAAGGACCACTTGCAGCCACCTGGGGAGGATCACATCCTCGAGCACCTACCCTCGAGGCTCAACGAGGGCATGTGGGGTTGGCGGGAGCGGGGGGACCTGGGGGGATGGGGGGCAGAGGGGTCCTGGGCTCCACCTCCCTCCCCTGCCGACCTCGCACCAACCTCCCTCCTGCACCCACAGCCCTGCTGGACGCCTGCATGGAACCCACAGACCTGCTGACCACGCTCTCCAACATGCTGCCCGTGCGTCTGGCCACGGCCATGATGGTGCCCTACACTCTGCCTCTGGAGAGCGCCGTGTCCTTTACCATCCGGTGCGGGGCAGGGGGAAGGGGTGCAGGGACGAACTCTGGGTCATCCCCGGGTGGTGGGCACTCGAGGGAAGAAAAAGGCGGCCGGTTTAAGGGGCTGCAGAGATGCCACGTCGGGCACAGAAGCCAGGCACAGACGGAGGTGGGCTGGGGCGGGTGTGAGGTTTGGGCCGCAGCCCCTGAGGCCATGCCTTGTGCCCCGCCCCAGCTTGCTGGAGTGGTTGCCCGACGTTCCCGAGGACATCCGCTGGATGAAGGAGCAGACGGGCAGCATCTGCCAGTACCTGGTGATGCGCGCCAAGAGGAAGCTGGGCAGCCACCTGCCCTCCAGGTGAGCTCCTTGCTGCCCTGTCCACCCCGCCTGCAGCTTCAGGGGCCCCCACGAAAGCCCTCCCTCCCTCCCTCGGTCCTTTCCCTGCCCGCAGGCTGTCAGAGCAGGCGGAGCTGCGCCGCACCCGGTCGCTGCCCTCCGTGCCGCTGTCCTGTGCCGTCTACAGCGAGGCGCTGCCCAGCTGGATGCGCAACAGCCTGTCGCTGGGGGACGTGCTGGCGAAGTGGGAGGAGTGCCAGCGGCAGCTGCTGCTGGGCCTCTTCTGCACCAACGTGGCCTTCCCGCAGGACGCCCTGCGCATGCGCACCCCTGCCGGCGCGGCCCTCGTGCCCCCGCAGCACCCGCCCGGCTCGCCCCCTTGCTGAGAGCCGCCCGCTCCGGCCTTCCCCGCCCCCGGTGCCGAGGGCCGGGCCCCCCAGCTTCCCTGCCCCGTGAGGCGGGGCCCTGGGGCCAGCAGAGAGAGGAGATGGGGGTCCCTCACGCTGCCCGAGGGGGCTTTGCTGTCAACCAACCACTAACTCGCTGCACTGAGGAGGGAGGGGAGTGGAGTAGCCCTCCCCTCGCAGAGGGCCCCCTGTCTGTGCCTTAACCTCCCCTTGCAGGCCCCGCCCTGGGGCTGGGGGCTCCTGCACCTGCGGCCCCTGCCCAGCACCCACACCCGCGAGTGCAGTATTACTGCTGAGAACTTTGCACCTGTTCCTCCCTCTACATTTTTCTCATTTGGCCGAAGCATGTGTGTGAATTATTTATTTTTGCCAAAGCAGATGTAATAAATGCCGCTGCTCAGCCTTACCTCCTTCACTCGTTGGTGACGCCTCCCCACCCCCGCCGCCCCCAGCTGACCCCCACAGCGTCCAGCCTCAGGCCAGTACTTCCTGGGCTCCCGCTCTCCTGGAGCCTGGCACTCCGGCCCTGCCAGCCGGGCCTGGGGCTCCCCCCTCAAAGCACTGCGGGCTTCCTAGGCTTCAGCCTGCTCCTCTGCCTGGGACCCTTGGGCACAGCTTTCTAAGGGCCAGTGGAAGTATCGGGGACCAAGATCCTTGCAAGATAAAAACAGAACTGTTCAGTTTCTTACCGAGGTGGTGTCTGCACCTCTGCTCCATGGTGCCCTGGGGGCGTGGCACTGATTTCCCAAGCTGAGCTCTGGGGGCCTGCTCCACTGGGGGTGTTTGGCCCAAGGCTCTGTGGGTGGTGCGGGTCTTGCCCTTGTCACCCATGAGCCTCACTGCGAGGTGCACACACCTCGTTCCCCTGTCCCCCTCCCCCCCCACTGTGTCCCCAGTCTCCTGCAGGTATACAGGAGGGATCTGGAACGTTGGGCGGGGCGAGGTGTGCGCCAAAGGGGGCTGGATCCTGTTCTGGGGGGGATGAGGTTTCCCGAAGGCCTTCTCTGCCCTGCCTGGGCAGTCTGAGGGGATGTAACCAGCCCTCCTTGGTGATCACAAGGGCCCATGGGGTAACGGGCGCCTGAGCAGAGCTGGGCACTTGGCTGGAGGTCCAGAGCGCTTAGTCCTGCCGGGTTCAGCCGGCACCTGCCCTCCTGCCCTTTCTCCTCGAGGCACGGGGCAGCGGCAGTAGCCCCCAGCCAACAATAACGGTCGGTAGTGCGACTGCAGGACTGGGAGAGCCGGCTCAGCAAGTCCCCGTGCACCTGTGCCAGGGGCCACCCCCACCTTGGTCTCAAGGTCCTGTCCTATAGGCCCAACCTGTTCTAGTTGAGCAGGATCCCAGGCCCCTGAAGAGGCAGAGGCCTCCAGCACCCCAGCGCTGCCCGGACAGCTCTGCCAGGCCAGCCCCTCCAGGTGGGTGCCAGGCTGGGGCCGGGGAGGAGGACCCCTGGGAAGATGAGGGGATTTTTCTCCCCCCCACCTCAGGAAGGTCACACACGGGCCCCACCCAGAACCTTCTGGCAGCCCTACCCCAACAGGAACCTGAGTCAGGGCTATGCCCCCAAAGGAGTGCTTGGGGCACCTGCTGAGACGAGGACCTCCCTCTGCTCCCCCCACCCCCAGCCACTCACCCTCACACGCACAGGCATCTATGCCGCTGATTTAAGTACCATTTTCTTGTATAGTACGCGTTTATTGTTTAAAAATGGAAAAAGAAAATTGGAGAAGTATAGGGAAGAAAGGAAAGTCACCCCACTTCTAGAGAAAAGCGTTGAGAATATTTTGGTCTATTTCCTGCCTTCTTCATGCACACACTTTGGCGCCTTAAATCGGGATCCTGAGGACTGCCCCCCAACTTTGGCCCTGTGCAGGAAGGGTCCCCAGGGTCATCCCCCCACTCTGCGCTCGGACTCTGCCAGGACAGACACTCGGGGGTCGGGCCGTATGCGGGGGCGGGGCGGGCTATGAGGCGAGCGCTGGGCCACCGGGGCAATGCCGAGAGGCGGGGACACGGCGGCGGCTCTGCCAGGGCCATCGCTGCCGGGGTCCCGGTGCCCGCAGGAGAACAGCCTGGTGTGCAGCAGGTGCGGTGGCAAAGCTCGCAGGTAGCCGCCCGGCCCGTCCCCCCGCCCGCATTGGCCCCGCAACCCCCGTCACCGCCAGGCGCGCCGATCCCCGCGTGTCGTGGTCAGGGGCTCCGGGGCCCCTTGGGACACGCACTGCAGGGGCAGAGTGGGCTAGGTCCCAGGGTGCGGGGGCTCAGGCAGCCCTTCCCCCCCCCCCCCCCCGCTCCCCGGCCCGGCCACAGCGCAGCTTCCGGCTGGGATGGTCCCCCGGTCCCGTGGAGCCCGCCCGGGGAAGGCGACGGCGTGAGGCGGAGACGTCTCCGCCCCTGTGTCCCCTCCTCTCCGCCTTTCTCAGCCCTGCCCTCTTGGAGGTCGCCTCCCGCATCCCCCAGGAATGGGTGGGGAGAGAGAATCACAGTCCTGGACTGGGGGGCGAGGACCAGAGGGTCCCAGGCCGGGGGCTGTCGCCACGCTGGGGGTTAGCTTTGGGAACTCTGGGGTCCAGGTGTCGTGGGAATAACAGATGGTCTGATTAGGGGGCAGGGCGCCCCCATGGGGAGGGAGGCCAGTCTGGCGGAGAGCATAGTGCCAGCAGGAGAGCCTGTTAAGCTAGACTCTGAGCTTACTCCTGACGAGGGCCACAGAAGGCATCGTGGCCCAGGCTGGACCCTGCACCTGCACCCCTTGGGGCCTGGTGCCGGTGGGCGGGGCTGCAGGCAGGGAGGGAGGAGCTCCCCCGCCTGCCAGCTGGCTGGAAGCAAGGCCCAGAGGCCCAGACTCAGAGGCTAAGGACTCTATCAGCCGGGATAGGCTGACACTCCCACTGGCCCAGCCCGGCCCGCCCAGTCTCCAGGCCCCGACTCCAGGACCTGTTCAGCTTCTCTGCGGCTGACCCTTCTCTCACCCAAGCCCCCACCTCCTCATTTTCCATCACAAGATCTATAGCTGCCCCCCCACCCCTGCCCCCGCCCCCCAGCACATCCTCTCGTGCACCGGCTGGCTCCCTGGGTGGCCCTGAGCCTGCAGGCTCCACCCATGCCCCCTTGCGCCAGCCCCACCACCTGCAATTGGGCCACACCTCCCCCAGCTGCCCCTCCTCTCTGGGCCTCCACCTTCCCATCCCCACCGCTCCACCTTAGCCCTCAGCCACCTTTGCCCGTCACCCTCTCTGCCTACACTTCTCCTCTCCCCTCATTTCTCAGCTCTGCTCAGGCCCTGACTTCTCCTTGGCTTCACAGTGCCCAAGGCTGAGACCCCCGCCATGGCCAGCCCCGGGAAGCCTGGGGCTGGGGAGAACCAGGAGGAGGAGGGGTGGGACAAGGGGCACGCCCCAGGGCCACTGGCAGCGACACTGGAGCAGGCCCAGGAGCTGTTTCTGCTGTGCGACAAGGAGGCCAAGGGCTTCATCACCCGGCACGACCTGCAGGTGAGCCCCCAGCTCCAAGAGGCCTCCCACCCCAGGGCTGACCTTGGCTACTCAGCCTTGCCATCCTTGCCCGGCCAGGGCCTGCAGAGCGACCTGCCCCTCACGCCCGAACAGCTGGAGGCTGTGTTCGAAAGTCTGGACCAGGCGCACACCGGCTTCCTCACCGCTCGGGAGTTCTGCCTTGGCCTGGGTGAGCCCGGCCCCTGAGCCCCACCCCCTACCCCGCTGCTCAGACACCCTCCGCTGGCACATATGGGACTCTGTGGGGCCCACAGCCCACAAGGGTGGCAGGCCGTGCTTCTCCCTGGCCTCCCTCCGGAGCACAGGCTGGTGTCTGTACACGCAGGCACCACGGGAAGCCCCCCAGATGCTGTGGCATATGTGGAGATGACCTGCTCCCTGACCCAAACCCAGGTGGGACTGGGAGCCAGACATGCCTCATTTTGGCCCGAGCCCAGCTGTCACCTCCCATTCCCAGGACAAGAATCGGACCAGAATAAGGAAGAAAAACAGGAAACTGGGCTCAGAGAAAGGGCAGGATATGCGGGGGGGCGGGGGTGGGCTGGGCTGGAGGTGGTGACCCAAAGCCCGGTGATCTCTCCCTCCCATGCCCACAGGGAAGTTGGTGGGGGTGGAGCCTGCCCCGGGTGCTCTGCCCTCCCAGGCTCCTCGGGCTCCAGAGGAAACCTTCGAGGCGGGCTGGTCGGATGTGCGAGGCCCCCGGGGCTCCCTGGAGGAGGAGGACGAGGAGAGATTCTGCTCTGCGCTGGAGCAGCTGGGGGTGGCCCGGGTCCTGGGCGAGTGAGTCGGCACTGGCCCGGCTCCCGTCACCCTCACCTGCTCTCTGTCCGCCTGCATGATGCCTGTCCGCGTTGCCTGCGTGTCTGTTCCCAGGCAAGGTCCCTAGACCAGGTCTGGGCCGCTCCTTCCCTCTCAGCTGCAACTACTGCGTGCCGGGCCTGATTTCCCACAGAATTTGCATTTCAGGAGGCAGCAGCCAGGGCTGCGCCCAGCACAGGCACAGCCCTGTGTACACAAGGACACAACCCCACGCACACACACCTCCTGGCCACACAAGCCCCGCACAGGCACAGGCCCCCCCACAGGAGTGAAAGCACCCAGGAGAGGGATGCCCAGCTTGTGCAAGACTACGGGGGCCTCTGGGGGCTTCTTACCCTGCAGGGTGGGGTGGGGAGTCCCCGCTTCAGCTTCAGCCTCTGCCCTCCCACCCCCCACCCCCACGCCCACCTCCACCCCCACCCCCAGGCAGCGGGCAATTCGGACGCTCTGGACCCAGCTGCAGCGTGAGCGACCCGAACTGCTGGGCTCCTTCGAGGACGTTCTGATGCAGGCGTCGGCCTGCCTGGAGGAAGCGGCCCGAGAGCGGGAGGTCCTGGAGCAGGCGCTGCGGCGGTGAGGGCTGGGGGGCTGGGGGCGGCCTGAGGGCCAGGCGGAGGGGCTCTGCGAGGTGGTAGGGGCGGGGCCGAGGGCTGTACCGCTGGCAGGTTCTAAGCAGCTGTCTTACTCCTGGTTTCCCGAAGGCGGGAGAGCGAGCACGAGAGGGCGGTGCGATGTCTGTACGAAGATATGGAGCGGCAGCTTGGCGAGCAGCGCCGGCGCCTGCGGAGTCAGGTGGGCCCGCAGCGCCGCCCCGCGCCCAGCCCAACCCCGGAAGCGCGGGTCTCCCCGGCCCCGCCTTCTCCGAAGTGGTCCCACCCGCGCCCCTGCCGCTCCGCCGCCAAGGGGGCTCAGGTGTCCCCGCGCGTCCTAGGACGTCCCCCGGGAGGAGCGGAGAAGCCGCCTAGAGCTGGAGCTGCAGAGTCGCGAGCAGGAGCTGGAACGCGCGGGGCTGCGGCAGCGGGAGGTGAGCGGCTGCCTGGCGGTCCCGGCCGGGAGGCGTGCACAGCGGTC